GCGGGTTGAAATGAAAATACCCTTACGGATTCACTATTCCCCGCAGTGAGATCCTTTTATCTTTGTTCAGAACGATAGAGTTTTACCGCTCTCGAGCTCCAAAATTAGCGCTGATAAACTCCCCTAAGCTATCGAACCTCTCTTTTCCTAATTATGCGACTCTCCGTCTCCACAGATGCCGACCTTCATTCAGACGTCCTTTCCGAGTATCTGTGAGGGTACAAAGCACGTGTCGCACCTGGGCAATGTTCAGAAGGGACGACTTAGGCGGTTGGGCCAGAAGGGAAGAGCGAAAGATGCGTATGGGCAAGGCGAATAGGCGATTACCCTAGTAGGCGGCCAGGCAAATAGACATGAAGGATTTTTACGCATGGATCTGTCCGCTCCGCCCACTGAGCGATCCCCTAGTCGCCTGCACCGTCAACTCTGAACAATACCTTAGTAGATTCTTATCACAACTATAGCAACTCATAAATACTACTGCAAGCCAAAATATTCCTGGTTCTGGTAGCGACGGATTCTTCCCGTCACTCCTCATTTTCCACCATAGCCTAGCGAGGTACACAAACCGACAGCTACTGGTTCATTTGTAGAGGGAAGACAATGATGAATGGGTCAAGATAAGAGTCATCTCCCCTACAGTGCTAGGTCAAAGAGGGTCGCTTATCATGCCTCTCTCCGCTTGGCTTCACGATGGCATGTGCACAAATGGTAAGCTCAGGGCTAGGATACATGGAATAAAGGAGATCCTTTGTCAAAAGCGATTTTTAGGAAATGCTCGCTTTTCTTTTACTATTTCTTCTTTTATTTTTGCAATCCCCAAAATTTATGCGGTTTTTGAAATCTTATGTTGCAATTGGAATTTAAAATTACGACAACTCATCTTCCGAAAGCCTCAACAAGGCTATCACGAACATATCCATTTTTCCCCTCCGTAGCATCTTTTGCGTAGATTATTCATGTGGCCTGAGGCCCTTAGGTGTAGATATTGGTCTCATCTTCGTAGGGTCTGGGCTCAAGGCTCACAGTGGTAACTTCATTTTTTGGTAGAACTGGTAGTAGTTACAAGGTGCGTAAAAATATTCACTTACGTGAAATCGATTTGGAACGGGATCTCAGAGTTATCACTAAAGTGAATGATCTAACTTAGAGAGTTAGAAGACAGCTCATTAGAATCAAGGTAGAGGTGTCAGTGGAGCTGGGATGAAGAAAAATCATGAGAAACGGTCCAGAACCCGAGAAATGAGGACCCCTTCTTTGCCCGTTGATTTCCGCACTGATGCGGCTCTCTTCCCACTAAGTAAGTTTTCTTCGACCTTCAATCTTTTCGTGGAATCCTCCTTTAGGGTCTCGAGTAAAGGGGTTACCTGAACATTTGCATTGTGCCATTAAATTTCCATATGGAAACACACCGCTGATCTCCAGTGAAGTGAAATGTATTTAGTTCAGTGCTAGAAGTGGAGGAAGAAAATAACTTGTTCGATATTCTACTGTATTTTTATTATTGTGTACTTTTTTGTTCTCAGTCTTCAGGCCACACTTTTACATTTTTTTTGTTCGACGAACCGAAAGCAGTTTCATATTCGAAACACTTATTCTTAACCGCAAGTTGCTGTCGCGAAACGTACCTCTGAGAAATTCGCCCGTTTTTCTGAAGAATGCTCTTTTTCTGTATACACATCTTGCAGATGCCACTGAACAGACTTCTCCGTGATGGCGATCACGAAGATTTGGCTGAAGAGCGTCGAACAGCCACTTTCGACACTGACGAAATGGCTGCAATCATTTGGGGAAACAGAGAGGTTCCTTGTTTCTAAAAATATCGAAATTAACATGCTTTCTAAAACAATTTCCTTGCGCTCGTGAAGTCCTACGTAGTTCAGAGCCGCTCATTTGTTGGTGGTGGTCGTTTCGTGTGATTCGTAATGTCTCGGCGTTACTTACAATTCTTGGGAACTATTACTAGTGATTGTGGATGCTATACTGAAGTTAGATGTTAAAGGCAGCGATTACGATAAGAGGGAGCGCATCGGGGAAAGCATATGCACCACACGAATCAGTTACTTGGCTGCCAGGAAGCGAGGTGTAGCGCTTTCACGACGAAAGGTGCGCTGGTTGCTGAGCAGGACTTCGAAAGCACTCCGCCCCAAAAGCGATCCCCCACTAGTTTAGTTGGTGATTTGGACGAGCTGCGATTGACTCAGCAGCGGCCGAACTTTGCCGAACAAACATCCAGAATTGATCAGAAGCAGATAAGGATATAAAGCCATGAAAGAGCGATAATAGCAACGCTGAATTCATTCATAAGTCTTCTTTTGGCTGTTCATGAGTGAAAATAAGCGTGACCATAAAGCGGCGCCATTTGCGTTTTCTGACGTGAATTTCCTGTTTTTTTTTGTGCCAACGATATCATGAGCACGCCCCTTCCTCGGAACCTTCTCGAACTATCGTAATCGCTGCTATAAAACCGCCCCCCGCCGCGCCCCCGCACCCCACCAACCTGTTCAAGAGTGGGATGGTGTCGAAAAAAAAACTAAGTGTCAGGCGACTTTGATCTCCTTTCAATATGAACGCAAAAGTGATACTCCCGTCTATGATTTTGTAGTTGCATTATTTGTAGGACAGCTTTAGGTCAACTAGATGTAAATCGCCATTTTTATTAAGGTATAATCGCAAGAAACATGCAATCATACAGTTAAACCTGACTTTTTAGATTGCGCCATGCACTTGAATCCCATTCATAATCTTATTTTCCACTTTTGTAAATGTTGCTGGAACATACGGTATGTATTTTAAAGGTTGTGAGCCGACGTCGTCAAATCACCAAAAGAGTGGCTGAACATCCAGAGCTGCAGGATCCGTATAGCCAGGCGTTTATGACGCGTACAGAGCACATGGATCATGCAGCTAGAAAGGTAATTTCTAAGAATAACACATTTTTGAAACACTTTATCAGTCATTACAAGGCTTATAAACTTCTCTTATTCATCAAGAGAACGAGCTCCACATAGCTATTCACTGAACTTTTAGGCCACAAACATGCTCAAAGATTTGGACGCTCTCGATGTGAATCCAGTGAATATGAACGAGATGTACCATTTAACGAAGTTTGTGATGTTGACTAATTTATTCTGAAAGCTTAATACCAATCAATGCTAATCCACTGGTGGCGAGTAGAAGAGGAAAAGGCTTACGGCGTTGATCGACCTTTTTCGAGATGCGCCATGCATTCCTCTTCTCTTCAGAACCGTAGTGGCATTTGGATGCTGCATAACCTATGCAATGACTTGTCATGGCAACCGATTTACATAACAACAATGTTTTACCCTACCCAGACAAATCTGGCATCAATTGACCGACCCATGAGAAATGGAAGGCTTAGTTGGCCTGGGCGGCCTCCGATCCAACGGATTTGATCCCCGGACCGCTCGCGTGGAAATGAGCGCCACTTGCCGCCACACCACTTCCGCCCGCCAATGAAATACCTCGCAATGTTTGTAAGATGTAGCAATGCTTATCGACACATGGGGCGGAAAGCCTCCAGTGAGAACAAGTTAGCTCGGAAATGCGTCTCACTTGATACGATATT